ACTTCAAATGCCGGTCAAGCTGGCGTCGGCATTGTTTTGAGTCCCCGGGCTGAAGTTTCCCTGATTGATTAGATCCCAGTAAACAGTAGGATGTGTGCCGTTAGATTAGCTAGTTCGTTCCATGCTAGGAAGTCGCGCGGAAACAAACGGTGCCTGTTAGTCATTGCGGTATACGCCCCTAGAAACTGTAGCACTGATTCGGTGAAAGATGATTTCTATCAGCAACTTCACGCTCTCCTTCGTTACAGAAGAAGCACGGATACTGTGGGGTTGGCAGGCGATCTAAACGCTGAAGTCGGAAATTTGTCCTTTGACGAGCTTCATCTGGACGGCCATCATAGTGTAGGCTCCCGTAATGATAACGGTGAGCGATTGCTACAGCTGTGTGAAGATGCTCATCACTTTCACGCGAGCACAAACTTTCGACACAGCACCCGCAGAAGCGTGACTTGGCGCCCACCAGCCTCGGGCCAGCCATGGACGTAAATCGATCATATCGCGAGCAGTTACCGCTGGAGAGGCTGTGTCCAAAACTGTCGCTCGATTTGGAACACGAGCGTGGAATCTGACCACGCACTTGTCAGCGCCAACCTCCGGGTGCGTTTCGGTGGACGTCCACAATGTCGATGTGAACGGAGTGACACCAGCTAGCTGGCGTAGCCAGGTGTTTTGAATGTGTATCAAACTGCGTTGATATCTGGGCTGAGTAAGCGCTCATTGAACACCGTCGAAGATCACTGGTCGCAGATTCATCAAACGTTACTATCAACAGGTATGTTTTCATTTGGCAAATCAAATTGCCAACCTGGACATTGAGTCTCTAAAAGTCTCTGGAACTTATGGATGCTCACCGACGTATTCCGGCTGGAAGCGAATACAATAAGACTTGCCAAAATCTCAGGGTAAAACTGCGTGCTAGCCTGAAGGAAGACCGCGAAGCCTAGTGGTCTCATTGTGCCTCGGAGATGGAAACAACCGCTACCGTTGGTAAGCATCGTAAGTTATTCCATCTGATACGAGAAACAGGCAGCAGGAGACCTGGTGTTAGCGAGACCATACGCGACGACAGTGGGCAGCCGATCCACAGCCTGTCAAAACGCTTGGAGCGTTGGGCTGAACACTGCAAGGCAATTTAATCAACCTGAGTTATCGCTTTCTTTTTCGGGCATTGAGCGCCCTTCTCCCTGGGTCGTCTCCTTGGATCCGCCATCACGTGCAAAGTCGAACGTGAGATCAGGCTGTTGAAATTGGATAAGGCCGCAGAGGCAGATAGAACTCCCCCAGCCCCTACTAATTCGAGGGATCTGCTCTAGTAGATGATTTACACGAGTTGCTAGTGAAACTTTGGGAGCAGTAGACTGTCCCGACAGACTAGAGTCGCTCCGTCATAGTCCCAATTTTCAAGGGAGGTCCCCGTTCGGAATGTGTCAATCATACAGGTATCAGTTTGAACTCAATTGCCTCTAAATTGCCTGAAACTGTCAATCTCCACAAACTGACTGGCACGCGTGAAAGCCAGCTTCGTGAAGAGTAAGCTGGGTTTCGGCGAGGTCGGGGCTGCATCGGTCACATCTTCACCTTGCGTCAATAGTTGGAGCACCGCCATGTTTATTGGCGACCCACCGTTGTCGTGTTTCTTTACATAAAAGACGCCTTCGACTCAGTTGATCGATGTGTCCTTTGGGACTGTTTGCTGAGGAAAGGTGTGCCTGATAAATATGTAAACATTATCAAAGCGCTGTACGCGCATAATTCAGGCGGAGTGAGGATTTATGGAAAACCGTCGCCACCCTTCAGTATCACCAGCGGTGTGAGACAAGGTTGCCCACTGTCGCCTTTCCTATTTAACTTCCCAGTTGACGAAGTCATGGAATCAGCATTCTCTGAATACGACCCAGAAGATGTGGAGCTAGTTCCTGGTGAGCTACTTCTTGACTTGGAGTATGCAGACGATATTTCCCTAATCTGTGACAGATCACAAACATGCCAAGCAGCACTGGACCGATTAGCACTGGCTGTCAATCATTTTGGGCTATGCTTTGCTCCATCGAAATGCATAGTACTTCTCCAAGATTGGCAGGGACCCACCCTGCACTAAGGCTTTGTGGTGATAGGCTAGAAGTCGTTCAGGAATTCAAGTACCTGGGCAGCTATATTAGCACCCGTGGGATTGAAGATGAGGTTACGAACCGTATAGCAAAAGCTCCAGGTGCTTTTGCCAATCTCCGCCACTTGTGGCGCAGACCCAACATTACTCTCGCCCTGAAGGGCAGAGTTTATAACGCAGTCGTCCGTTTAACTCTCCTATATGGTTGTGAAACCTGGCCATCAGGTTGACAGACATAAAGAGGCTCGTCACATTCGATCATCGCTGCCTGCGCAGCTTAGCTCATGTCTGGTGGGAACACCGCGTGAGCAATGAGCGTGTTCGGTGTTGCGTATTTGGTGCAGAAAGAGCGAGTGAACCGCTCAGCACCATTATATCACGCACCAGGCTCCGATGGCTGGGTCACGTATTGCGCATGCCAGCACACCGACTCCCGCGACGTGCATTGTTTGCGCGTTGTGGGTGCGGTTGGAAGAGGAGGAGGGGAGGCCAAGTGATGACTTGGTCGAGAGCAATGAAAACCATATGTTTGATGTTGGCGTCGGTTGGTGCATCCCGACTGCCTGGCTGGGGTCCTAAGAATGGTGAACACGTTTGGTTGGACACACTCGCTGATATGGCTAAGAGCCAGCCCCAATGGCGTTTGTGTTGTGAGTTATTTTGTCCATCGCCCTCCGGAATGATGTCCATCGTTTACTGGGGCCTCAGACGACGTACCACTGTATTTTTCTTCTTCTTATCTTTTGTATTGCGGCACAATAGCTGTGTTTTCCACCTGAAGCCAACGTGTATAATGAATGGATAAATGCTTACCTTTCAATAACCTTTTCCCTAGCGTAATTTTGCGTTCTTTCCAACGCACCTTGGGTTAGTGGTTTATCTGCGAATCTGATATGGAGCGCATGATAGCGCAATGTAGTAGGATGAGGTAACATAACCGATCGAAAGTTTAGGAAAGGTTCACATATATGATATCGATTCCGGCCACACCATCATCCTAGTGTAATAAGTAGAATAGTGGTGTGCGACCGGCATTTATAGAAACTTTCCTGCTACGATTCCACGATGTTCCATTCTTCCGGTTAGTGTATTAACGCATCGAAACGACCACTTCCACGACCATCAAGAACATATGGAAGAGGGTTATCTGAAGATGGTTTGCATGGACTGCAAGACTTCTGCCTTTAAATATCAACTTCTGTCCAGTTGGATCTTAATTCTCAGTCAGGCACTTTGGGGTAGAACTGCAAGAAGAGTTGGGCTAGCATCTTAACTGCAACTCCTGGTACCTCAGCGGCTAATGTACTTAGCTCCCGAAGAACTGCAATTGCGCAGTCAAATCAAATTCCTTAGAACAATTGACACTTTAAAAACGGAAGGTGTAAACCCTAGATTTTGTAAAAAGATGACAGAATGCAACACGGACAGACAACATGAAACTGCGTAGTATGGTCATAGAGCATTAGAATATACATCAGGTCTTTGTGATCTGAAGTCCGTTGTGATACTGTGGTAAACGAAAACGTTTGATATTCTTGGCATGTGTCTTCTAAGTAATCAGCCCCATAGAAAGTTCAGCTTTCCCTTTTACTGTTGTCTGGTTGCCCTTTTCCTTATTTCGGTTGCTTTCTTCTCCAGGTTGATCCACTTTAGTACTCTGCCATCTCATTACCACTTTGTTCGGTGAGCCTTGGGCCACCACAATTGGATGCTCGGATTGCGCCTGATGAACGTAAATCACGTAAATTGAAGCGATTACACTCAGCCTTTGACTCTTCAGCGGATATATCCACAGCGTTGTGAATCCGTGTGGCTTACTGCGCTGAGTCAAGACTAGCCAGTAGGAGAATACCTGTGAACATCCAACCTTTGATCGGTTGGTTCTACAAACTGATAAACGGCTCGCTCTGCTATGCATACTTCTGCTTTGTTCTATTTCACCGATATTCCTAATGTGAGCTCGTTCAAAAGTTCACCTACCTAGGTAGTCGTATCAGCGTCGTTGGAATTGAAGACGAGGTCACAAACCGTATAGTAAAAGCACGAGGCGCTTTTGCTAAGCTTCGCCAACTATGGCGCCGGCGCGACATCCTCCTCTCTTTGAGGAGTAGAGTGTACCATGCAGACGTAGGTTGGAGCCAGCTGTACGGTTGTGAAACCTAGCCCATTAGATCTGCCGACATAAAGAGGCTAGTTACGTTCGATCACCGATGCCTTCGTAGTTTGGCTCATATCTGGTGGAAACAGCGCGTGAATGACGAGCGCGTTCGATGCCTTGTTTATGGCGTGGGAAGAAGAAGCAAACCTTCCATCACCGTTATTTCACGCACCAGGATCCGATGGTTGGGTCACGTGTTGCGCATGCCAGCTCACCGACTCCCGCGACGTGTGTAGTTTGCGCACCGAGGGTGCGCTGACTTGGTCAAGAAGAAGGAAAGCCCTTACTTCGAAGTTGGCCACAGTTGGAGCTTCTCGGTCCCTTGGTTAGTGACCGAAGGACGATGAAAACGATTAGCTGGATACACTTGTTAAAATGGCTAGGAACCAACCTCAATGGCGTTTGTGTTGTGAGTTTTCCATTTAGCGTCTCCCTCCAATAGTGATTTCAATTCATAGGCATAATATAATCCTTTTTTGGGGGGGGGGGCACAATAGCCGGCTGTTAGCTCTCCGGAACGATGCCCATCCGTTATTGGTGATTTAGCCTGCGTGCCACTGTTGTATGTTTTTTTCTTTTCTTTAATATTGCAGCACAATAGCTGAGGTGTCTTCAAGCTGCAGCCAAGGTGTAGAATGATGATGATGACTGATTCTACTACTGGAGTCGTTTATTTGAAAGTAGCTTATCAAATCGCATTCATGTCTAACTCCCGCGACGCTATCATTTTTACAGTTACTGCCCACATAACATGTCACACGAAAGTGCCAAACCTTTACTTGAAGACGAAGAAGTAACGAAAAATGCTTACAATATATTTGTGAGTATGGAAAGCCTAAACGAAAAATTAAAGTTACTAAATTATGAACGTGGATTCTGTCGGTAAGCGACTCGTACATGTTCAATCCTTGCATACAGTGCGCGACATCAGAAGCCTCTGACCAGACATTATTTTGCGATCCCTACCAATCCTGGTGAACAATTTCATACATTCACAACACTTTCTGCATGGTTGATTGGAAAAGCGAATGGAAAAATTGATCCTCCTCAGGAATACGATGATCCCAATGCCATTGTTGCGACAATTCTTGACGCGGTCAGGGAGCTTGGTCATAAGGTAATCTTCCCACCGTCAAAGTTGAAGGTTGGTTGGGGCGAATGTTGCATCGACGTGTTGCAAATGTTGGCAAAATCGGCGCTGCAAGTGCAATCCCATCGATATGAATTGCCAGTGTATCCCACAGAGACCGAAGGCGAAGTGGAAGGCGATGAAGTGGATTCCTGCAGCGGAGCAGATGATGAGATCTGCGAGTGGCAAGGGCAGTCGCCAACTGGTCTACGAGCAACAAATCGGGGCATTGGATCGGCTCTTGACAGGCTACACGTGGAAGATGAGTTAGACGAAGATGATGACGAGGTTCCAGATATTGAAGGTAGGATTACTTTAGGTTTGGCTACTCAGTAACCACCCAGCTGACCATGTTATTGCTTTCCGGGTTAACTATATCGCGGGTTTAATAAACCATCAGTCTCGGTGCTTACTCTTTTATGATTGCTCGCTTCACGATGTAATTAGAATCTTCCGGCAAAAGTTGGACCAAATAAAATCGAAACGCTGCACGCAGTGGTCGATGGTTAAAGCCAACATAGCTGGGTTACCAGGCTTTGTGGATGGTACAACTGACAGGGATTTAGAACTCCGTGTTGAGTTTGAAGTGGTTGATTCACATTTAGATTTTGAAATGCGATCTCAATTTTGACCGCGATTTTCTTTGATATGAGCCTCGATTAGCTCCGTCAGGGTAAAACGATCGTCTGGTACTTTTCCAGATTTGGTGGCTTGTAATCTAATTGCGATGAACTAAATAAAACCTTACCAAAATCCGTCTACTCATGCGCAGTTAAATAAAAGCTCGTTTTTTCTTATTTCTCATCACTTCGCGATCCGGGTTCCTCTTAAGTGCACAACTATAGGTTGACGCAAAAGAGACCTCGCACTAGTTCACTGATGCTGTTGACACAACACCACATAGCTGTGACCCTAGTTTGTTGTAATTTTGCAGAACGTCACTGATGCTGCTAATGTTTCCCGTTGAAATAGCTCCTTAGTGAAGTCGGATAGCGAACCAGCATCAGCTGATTCACACCAAATCCGACCATGTGACGAGTGGAATTGGAAACTAGTGAACGTTCAAGTTAGCTACAGACTCCTCCACCGATTAGTCGCTCCCTATGCGAATCGATAAACGCATATGATCAGCCATCACCACGGCGACTAAGTCAAGTTGCAGGCAGAAATCGATTAGACTTCAGAGAATGCAGGCGCATGTTTGGAAACAAAGAGTGACTTCTCGATATCTTACCCCAGTGAAAAGTTGGATATTAGAACGACTTCGCGTATTGTGTCCATACCGTAGGCGCACAAGAGCGGTTCACCGCTTAGACTCAATCTGTCGATGGAAAACTCGACGCAACGCGATTGACACCATGACTTTTGGACTTTTGCGCACCGCTGAAGCAGCATGCGATTATAAACAGCATCAAGAACTCGAAGAACAAAATAAAGCATGTCCAACATAATTGTGGGTTTATTAGATGTGCAATCGTTGTTCATCAATGACTGATCGGCGGAACGATTGACTGAAAATTCACCCGTCATGAGTGCATGAAAGCGCATTCTCGACTTGGCTTGAACTGACTGTACATACAAGGCAATCTATATCAACGGTAGTCGATCAATGGGGACAAAAGTTGCCATTCCGTAAGGTGAACATCGGCTTCAAGTTTCTCAACACCATGTCGTCGGGCAGAGAGAGTTATCAATTCGCAGATCAATGAGTCCCGCTCAACTGGACATTTGGAAAAACCTAGTGAATTGATTTTCCAGCATCTGACCTATTTCGCTCAGGAGTGGCACTATGATTACGTTTTCAAACCTAATTTCCTAAATTAATGCGACTGACTGTTGAGTGTAGAGCATTAATGAGAACAGATGCTTCCGATATTCGGTAAAACACTGGCAGTTACCCAAGCGAGCTTATAGTACTCACCGTCCTCGGGTGTAGGAGGGGGAAGTCGAGTCCCCGGGGCCAATCATACATTCTACACCTTGGAAACGCGCATGAAAGGGGAGGATAAGTGTCGCACTATACCACAGCCAGATCACAGCAACTGTCGTCCATTGCTCGTAGCCCAGTGGTCTTCACCAGTGACTCGAAAGTGAAGAGAAGTGGGTTTGAGTCCACCATCAATCAAATGGAATGCATGCTACTGACAAATTCCGAAGGGACAAAACTAGTGTCTAATACTTGTTCGGAAGTGCGATGAGTTTTCCATTGAATGTAGCTGTGACAAAATCTCTTCCGAATGCGAGCCGTCTGTTCAAGGCAGTTCTGAAGGTGAGGCGTCCGGCTAGTTGTTTGCATTTGAGCCTAAGCCTTTTGAGATTTGTTTCATACTTCAAATCGCAGTCCCGCTATCTCCGTCTGATGGGCTCAAATATGTTCAAAAGCGACCGCAAAGTGCAATGTTGCGAGCGATAAAACTCTGATGTGTATCTGCTTCGGCTACGATCTCAGTGACCTATTTCATCAAGGTACACTTCAATGGGAATCACGGTCCACAATGAGAATGCGCGTCACCATCGGCTCGCACGTGCTTCGAAATGACCCCTCCAATTTACTCAGCAACCGTTGTGACGAGAGACACTCTGTGGCTCAGAGCTCAAGACATCAACTGACAACCACATGGTCTCGAGTTCTGATCACAATCCGGTCATCTCTGCCTGAGAGGAGAAGGGTGTAAGATGCACCCCCTTAGGGATTTGGGCAAATTGCACTGGCTTTATTTGCAGGATTTGTGAAATTCTTACCTTGTGCTGTCTGCTACACCGTTAAATAATCATACTTATTCACTGTGGGCAATAACTGTAGCGGTTGTAATGATTCCTATAAAAATAGTTTTACTTTGTGTGTGGGCATCTTACCCTACACCTTGAATAAAACGCCCACACATGTGGGGTAAGATACCCACCAGTAGGCATTTCACCCACTGCGTCCCTAACTGCAAAAGAATGCACACAGAGATGTGCGGAGAACTATTGAAGATAGGGTTATAGCATATTGTAATACAGCCATGGCATTGACACAATGGGATAGCCAGTTAGTCATTTAACAATACAATGTATAGAGACTTTAGAATCAGAAGGCACAAAATTTGTAGTTCGGGAATGTTTAGATGCGTTAAATGAAATCGAAGATTTACTGATCATCGTCCGATTCACAAGTGTGGCACACATCAGCTAGAAATTCCTGTAGTGCAATCCACGTGGGCCCACATTTGACACACAATGCAGGCGACACACTTTTCACCAGGTGGACTGCGAACAAATGTTTCCACGCAGACCAAGCAGGGCAATTCATCGGACTCGTACGATGAAGAGGACGGTTTTGACTTCTTCACCTTACTGGCGTACTTCTTGCATCCATACTGATGCTGCCTTGCTTTTGGTTGCAGTGAACTTGTAAATGTGGACACTGTTATTACTTCGGCATCCTTTTCTGCTTGCTTGGGATGACTTGAATTTCAGTCAACACTGATCGTCTGGTATTACCAGAAGAATGGAAGTTTTGTACGTCATCTGACGTTGAAGGAGTAGACCTACTGTAAGCAGATGCGTTCATGGTTGAGGATGAAGGCATGCGGTCATGATCTATAGGTACTGAGGTTGGAATGATAATACTACATTCAGCAGAATCATCTGCAGATGCGAAGTTCACTTGGGGGTATAGTTGTAGCTCAGGGGACAAGAATGATTTTATTGGCAAAAATAGCCTATGACTCATTAAACTTGACAGCAACAAAATCATTCGCGTTAAAAGCAAATGGATTAAATGGCCGAATTCCGCAGGACTCAAAGCCCTTTGTAGGAGTAGCAACAGTTGCGGATTTTTTGAAAGCCCTCCAACTAATGAGACCAGAAGAAAAACAAAATATGTTGACGAGGATGATTTAGCATCCTTTGATCAGCAAACGTATTGTGTGCCGACTTCAAGTGCTTGAAAAACGTACGATCGCAAGGCTAGGGGCGATGTGTACAGTGTGGTAGTAATGTCAGCATGCTAACATGGCTAGGAGACGCCCATTATGCAGCAACAAGAGCCTTATGACTTTGGTAGCCAGTGGGTATTAACAAAGCAGATTCTGTCATCGAAGATTTAACGTTAGCGATGAAATGTTTGACCCATTTTTTGAATTGCTCAGCATCAGACCATCCAGTATACGAACAAGAGCCGACTGATCCGGCAGGTGCAATCTAGCAAATTGGTATCCCACGGTTTCTTCCGGAGCATAAACATTGGCGGGATGTATGTCCCCATCGCATTAAAAGCAAAAATGACTGTCACATTTTCCCCTTTCAGAACTTGTCATTTTTCCTATGGTGCGTTTTCCTTTCTGAGCCAATATTTTTTTGGCTTTTGAACATACGAAAAATCAGTCTCATCCATATTCCATATCCTACTTCCAGTAAATGAGGGGAGCTCACCACAGAACGCAAACATTCGTAAATTCTGTCCACTTTTGCCTTGTTGAATACAATTGCACGAGAAAGGCTGACTGCCTCAGGCAACTTCGGCCTGCAGATTTAGTCTCATCGTTGAATAGGTGAGGTAGGTTCATCTTTCCTGCGAAATCATATGCCAGACGTCGAACGTCTATGGTCGTCAAACCAAACAGCAGTGCGTCCGTTGTCTTTATCTTTTGACTTAATACATCTTCTAACTTCGGCTGTAATTCCGTTCTGAAGAGAACCAGAAAAAGATAACCAGATGCAAAGACCTGGAAACAGAAAGTCCGATTAATTCATTGTCCCTGTGTCGCCCTAAAGTTCGTCGATCAATGTCGAACTTCGAAACAGTGTTTCTCGAAGAAATGCCATTTTCAAGTTCCTCAGCGAGAACTGTAGCGGTTGTATCCCACATTCTCCTCTCTTACTCTCCGCACAAACACTCGAGTCATTCTGGGGTGGCTGCAATTAGAAAAAGTGTTAATAAGAAATAGAAGCATAAAAAAGATATAAAGACGCCCATGGGCGACTTACGTGACACAGCGGTGTTTTCGATTTATAATTAAATGCAAATTTGTAAAATATAATAACACAATTACTTGTTATACGCCTTCAGATTTGTCTACGCTTAAATGAAATGCCAAAAAGTCGGTGAAAAAGAACTTAAAATATGTTAATAGGTCAATTTACCAGTAGGAAAGGGAAATCGGTAGCTGATTTTTATGTATGAAGCGGGGGGGGGGCGAATATGAAACCGTCGAGGCTACGATCTGTATTGGAATATGGATCGCAATGGAAAAATATATGGGTGGGCTTCTCACTTGGATTGGGCGTCTTACCCTACTTTACCCTAAATGCTGACGTGCACGGAATGGCCCGAGTGTGCAGTAGTATGAACGAACAATATGAAACATTCATCAGCATTAGATGCGGTTCCAGGGACCGAATTGACCAGATTCAGTTCAAAATGATCCACAGTCCGATTGAGATTGTGGTCGCAACCCATGCCGAATAATTATCTTAGACTTATCACAGATGTCGGTAGATCAATGTTTCCGGCTGAGCATATACATTGTCTTGTCTCAATACGTCCCTTTTCCACTTCAGCTATACACACACGAGGCATCCGCTCACCATCGTCAAGTCAGCTGGGGGAACCGATTGGATTCAGCCCGCTTCCAGATGAAAAACTGGGATCTAAATCGACTGTTGCGGTAGAGAATACTCAGTCTGGAGTTCTGGAGTGCACTGTTGATCCCTCCGATTGGCAGCTTGAAGTAGAGCGCGTTTTGCCCCAGCTGCGGATAGCTCTCCGCAGCGACTCGAAAGATTGGCGCGCGCATTTGGAGGAAATGCGCCGGTATCAAACGGAGATATCCACTGCGTACACCGATGTGAAACAACACCTGACTCGATTGCAGTCGGAGTTGGGAAGAACACTGGATAAGATTCAGACTAGAGAAAAATACATGAACAGCCAAGTGGAGCCACTGTTAAGCCAATACAGAGCAGTGGAGGTATGTCCCAGATACGGATTGATTGTCAACTTTGCTTTGGGTCATCGACTCAAAACATCTGGCTGTTGTTTATTTAGGATTTCGAGAATCATTTCGCTGTATAACTCAAATGCTATTGAAACAACGAGCTACTGCTGCTTCTCAAAGCGATCGGTGTCAATAACCACAGACAGACGGAGAGGTCTTGAGCAGGCGTTTGATTGACGGATCGATTGATGTGACAAGTTAGTCGACCTGTTAAATCTTGGGTTTGGTGGGGGGGGGCTTACAAGCAATCTTGTAAATAACTCCCCACGCTTAGTAGCTCGGCTTGCATCCCGAAGTCATTAACTCTAGTCTATTCAACAGCGCCGTTGAGAGAGGAATTGCTAGCACAAAACGAAGTGAGTTTGGGCTACTCGCGTCTGAGTCTCTACCATGTGAGCTATCTGGTTTGGGTACATGGAAGGAAGGACACCTGATCAGAAAAGCAATCTCCAATGTTAAGTCGGAAGAAACATAGGGGAGCTTTGTAAACGTAAACGAGTGAAGCCTGCGCGAGAGCAGAAGTGATACCACTGAAGGGAGAAAAATCTACACAGCTGTTGCCATAAGTCGGAGAATTTCCATAGTTGCAGAGTCACACGTGATGAATGCCTAATAGCGGTTTGTAGAATCGTGACCCACCAAAGATGGGGTACCCAGGATTGCAAAATTCCAAGTGACTAGCCAACTAGGAGCGTCTTGTTACTGATTGCAGGCTGCAAGTCAATGGATGGAGACAGGAATGACTGGAAATGCAGTGATGGAGGCAACGCAGCGAGATAGTAGTGTTTCGTCTTTTGGGACATACAAAAATCGATAGAGACAATTAGATGTCGATGTTGGCTAAAGGGCTTCGGGGATTGACGACTTTTAAAACGGGAATTATCCTCAAATCAGTGCACAATACCACGGAACTACCTCGGAGTTGTGTATCGTGCCCTTAATAGTGTGTGCCACCTGTTTCGAGTAAGGATAGCGTCGTCACAGCAGCAGTTAAAACGCATCGGACTCGAGAATTGTGGGTATAACTACCACACGGCATATTTTTCGGTTTCATTCCAGCAGAATGGCTCACGATTGTATTACAGTGGTCTGACTAATTTATCTCGAAGAACGAGAGCAGTACGCTACATCAGAAGCATACAGGCTGTTGCGAATGGCAATGTGATCAGCATACTCAGTCTCCTTGAATCACCAGAGAAAAGGTGATGTAGTCGAGTGTTTCACAAGCGAACTATTCGACACATTGGTTTAACTAATTGCGTCATTTTCATCTGACAATCATTGCGACAACGAATGAATGCGAAAGAAAAATGGACAGGCGTGATCAACAGGTATTGATTTGCCCCATTTAAAGGACAGCATACTAAACGAGCACAATTTATATATATATATATATATATATATATATATATATATATATATATATATATATATATATATATGTATATATATCGTTATTTATTTATTCACAGTCTGTTAACAAATATTGTGCCATCAGAACCATGGCAGAAGAAAAAAGTGAAGATGAGAACACGAACTGCGATTAAAAAATATGGGAAACGATTTTTTTGGTTTTACACACGCCATTTTGTACTTTTTGTTTTGTTTTGTGAGTTTTTGTGTGCATCAAAGGGATGGTAAAATGGCAGAACAACATTGACGCCACTGATGTCTGTTGCGGGCCATGACGTCTAATGTTTCTAACCACTGCGATTCAGCATCTCGTGGTCCCCAACCTGGAAGACGGACTGGTCCGACTGCCGCCAAACTTGAGGTTGCCTTCTTCATGCTCCTTCTCCACGTCATTGCCTGTCCACCGCGACACTTTTTCCAATCGCTCCCTGGGAGTGCAAATAGCGCTCGACATGGAAAGCGATGGGCTGGCATGAGCAGAACGTGCCCGAGCCAACGCATGTGATGTCGGAGAATAACCTCCTGAATACTGGCACTATTCGCCCCAAGCACGCGGTCTCGCACCTCTGCGTTGCTTCCGTGATGTTGCCACCACACCCGAGCAATCCTTCGTAGACAGCGATTGTCGAAGACTGACAGCCCGCTTCATATCTTCCGAGTGAATAGGCCAAGTCGCACAGTCGTACAAGAGTACTGCACGGATGAAAGCATTGTACACCGCGAAGAGAGACACAACTCGTTTGTGATCTCCGTGTACGCTCCAAATGGCTGCAGTGGCGACTCGGTCAAGGACGAATTCTACCGAGATCTACATCAGCTCTTGACTAATGCTAAAAAGTCGGATGTCGTTATCCTTGCTGGGGATTTTAATGCACGAGTGGGCCGCCTGTTACCATACGAACGCCACCTTGGTGGTCACCACGCGCTCGATGAGAACCGCTCTGATAACGGAGACTTCTCACATTGTGCGAAGACAACCGTCTGTTTCTTTCGAGCACTAACTTCAGACGTACGAAAAAGCGTTCCGCAACGTGGCGTCCCCCTTCTTCAACACAACCGTGGTCTCAAATTGATCACATTGCAATCAGCTTCAGATGGCGCGGCAGCGTACTGGACTGCAGGTCCTTTTGGTCCACCTTCGTTGACTCAGATCATGCTTTGGTCTGCGCGAAAATCTGTATGCGTTTTGGAGGATCCCGAAACACGAAGCACCGCAAGATTGATGTAAACAGATTAACTGATTCCTCTGTCCAGGAGAGCTATCAGTCTTCACTGGCATATGCACTCAGTTGCAATCCACCGCAAGAAGTGGAACAACACTGGACTTGTATAAGAAAAGCGATGACCATTTCCGGACAGTCATGCTGCGATCTAACTCGACGCCCTTTGAAGTCTTGGATCTCTGCTGGTTTTCTGGAGCTGTTCGAACGCCGCAAAGATATCCCCGCGGAATCAGATTGCAACGAGCGGCGCCGTTCTGCCAGCTGGCTGCTCAAGCAAAGCCTATGCAAGGATCGCGAGACATGGTGGTCTGAGCGTGCTTTAGAGATGGAGACTGCTGCCCTCTTTGGCAACACTCGCAGGCTTTTCCAACTCATTCGGTCCACTGGCCTCAGGAAGCCTGGTGTCAGTGAGGTCATTTGTGAAGTGGATGAGTCTCCGATCACCAACCAACAGAGGCGTATGGACCGCTGGGCCGAGCACTTTCACTCGCAGTTCAACTGGCCTCCACCATCCATCAGTACATGCAGTACACCTTGCTGTCCACCCTGGTTCGTCCCATTGAATCCACCCAGCGAAGCAGAAGTCTGCCTCGAGATTCGACGCTTGAAGCACTTCAAGGCTGCCGGCTTAGACGGACTTCCTCCGGAGCTATTCAAGTATGGCGGTGCGGCGATCGTTAACCAGCTAACCGCGCTGTTTGCAAAAATTTGGCATGAAGAGAAAGTGCCTTCCTCTTGGGGCGAATCAGTTATTGTCCCAATTTTCAAGAAAGGCGCTTGCACTTCATGTGCAAATCATCGCGGGATTAGTCTTATTTCGGTTGCCTCTAAGCTATTGGCATCCATTCTGCTTCGTAGACTATCCCCAGTACGTGAATCATACTACCGTGAAGAACAAGCTGGTTTCCGTCCTGGTCGCGGATGCGTGGATCAAAGCTTCACGCTCCGCCAACTCCTTGAACATCGCCACATTTATCACAGGCCCACCATCGTTGCATTCCTAAACATACGTGCCGCTGTTGACTCCGTTGATCGACCTGCTTTATGACGTTGCTTGCTAAAGAAGGGGGTGCCAGAGAAATATACCGCCATCTTACGAGAACTTTACCTTCATACATCCGGCAGAGTGAGGGTCTATGGCAAGCTTTCCTCGCAATTCGCTGTCAATAGCGGTGTGCGACAGGGCTGCCCTATGTCCCCATTCCTCTTCAACTTCGCAATCGAAGACGTTCTGTCGAATGCCCTAGAAGGTTTCCAACATTTTGGCCTAGAGCTTCTACCGGGTGAGTGCGCGACCGACTTAGATTATGCTGATTATATCGCCTTACTTGGTGACGATCCTCAGGGTATGCAACTCATTCTGGATCGTTTGGCGGTGGAAGCATCTAAGTATGGCATGAGCTTCGCCCCATCGAAGTGTAAAGTACTGCTCAAGGATTGGCTTTCACCTGCTCCGGTGCTCACTCTCGAAGGTGCACAACTTGAACAGGTAGATAGTTTCGTCTACCTCGGGAGCTGTGTTTTTGTTGACGGCACTATCAACAAAGAAGTTTCGCTTCGAATCACTAAAGCTCGATCAGCATTTGTCAATCTGAGGCACTTGTGGCGTCGTTGTGACGTCTCATTTTCACTAAAGGGCCGCGTTTACAGCGCATCAGTTCGCTCAGTATTGTTGTATGGGTGCGAGTCCTGGCCGATTCGCGTGGAAGACATGCGTCGTCTTTCTGCCTTCGATGCCAGTTGCTTAAGGAGGATCGCTCGTGTTTGGTGGCAACATCGAGTTAATAGTAATGACGTTCGACGTCGCATCTTGGGGAATGCGAGTACTCCCTTCAACAAACTGGTTTTGTTGCGCCAGTTAAGATGGCTCGGTCATGTCCTACTCATGGCACCTGAGCGTCTACCGCGTCGCGCTCTATTCGCTCGTCAAGGACCTGGTTGGAAGCGACCGCGTGGTGGTCAGCCTTCCACTTGGCGGTAGCACATGAAATTGTTGACGTCGTGTCTAGCCGCTGTTGGATCCGTACGTCTTCCAGGATGGGGACCCAAAGATGAGGAGTGCCAATGGCTTAGGATTCTTGAAGACAAGGCCCGCAACCGGAATCAGTGGAAGAATTGTGTACAGTATTGTATTGATTCACATGTTTAATACCACCAATATTGAAAATGACAAAAAAAGAGAAAAATGGGCGTGTGACAAACAAACTAAAAAGGTTTTATTCTATTTTTTGTCAAAATGTTCCATTCTTCTTGCGACATATTAGCTGAAGTGTGTTGCCCACCTTCAACTACCATGCCATGATGATTATGACGCAATGACTGTCTCCTATCCACTGATCTCCATGGTTTTATACTGGCTCTGTGTCTAGTTGCTAGACTGTTGAGATTACATACTGCTTTTGAGCTTGAGACTGACATCACGACGACGCCATAGGTGTCTCAGTTTGATGAATGCAAGGCGGGCCTTTTCAATCCGTTGTGAGAGTTCATCTCCAACACCGCCACCTGCACGAACCATTTCAGAAAACCGAAATGAGCATATAGCCCTTTCATGACACTCCAACAATAGCGTGTATCGGAGGGCACGTAAGACACTCCGATCCAAAGTGGTCCCGAGGATTATGCGCCCCCAGCCAGATGTTTCGTCAGGCTTCGTGTTACTGAAGAACGGAATCCAAGAGCAGAAGTTTCTGTCTTCGCATCGGGGCAGAAGTCAACTTTTTCTAAATGCAGGAGGAGACAGCTTGAGAATCTGGTCTATCTCACTTATCCTCACAACACCAGTTCGGCCTGTAATATCTGCTCCCTATAAATTCGCAGATACGAAGGCGATAACTATTATTTTGGACACTGTCATGTCAAAAATCTCTCGGGTGTTGCTTTTCACACTTTCGAGTGTCTACTGAAAGGAAGTTGGTGGATTCATGCGAGTTATAGTTCATAGAACAGAAAATGAGGTTATAAGAAACATAGAGTGCAGGTAGAATAAGTCATACCGGTTTTAAATCTGATAAAAGCTGAGTGACTTAGTTAGGCCCTGTCGGCCGGTGGCCAGCACACCTGGCTTGCAATCATAAGGTCACCGGTTCGAATCCGTGTAGGGGCGGGTGTATTCGCGGTATCCTCAGCCCACGCGCGATTGGTGGTGGTCGCGCGGCAGTGAAGCGCCGTTGCGGCGAGCAGGTGACGATTTATTATTAGTTAGGTCGTAATCTCTTAGACGGATATGAGCGAGCGTTATTGCACAAATTCCAGCTCCTGTAAATAAGCGGCGAGAGTATCACCGTGCAGGATTCGGTATCGCTTCTGGCTTGTAAATGAATTAGCGTTGATGAACCAAGTGGTTCATCTACTTACCAGGTAGACCAAGTGAGTCAGAAGGAGGGGTTTGATTCGGTTGAATGGATCTTGCAAACCATTTTCTGCTTCTTTTCCATAACAACCTGAGCGCAGGTTTCAGTCAGCAGGAAAGTGGTTACGAATGGCATGTAGGAATCTGGTTCATCGTCGACAACCGTAGTAGGAAAATCATTTATACCGTGAAAATAGATGAGGAGATGCATGCCAACCAAAGGCGAAACTGATGCCGCCTTGGTTTTCTTCGCAAAGTCTAAGACCATTTCTGGGAAAAGCTAATGCACAAGTCCAGTCGCATCGGACCAAATGAGAAAGCCACATTTCAAAATCTGTAAGGGGTTATGTTGTGATGGTCTCGTGGCCCGAGTTAGAGGGTTCCTCACAGACTCCTAATTGATGCGCCATGGTATGCCAGAACACGAGATACTGGGTGACTAGACAGTATTGGCGAAATGAACTCCAAACCGGACAAAATACTCCAGGCAAGAAACGTGAAGGTCAAAAAGCACAGACTGCTACTACTACTACTGCCTACAGTCCACCGTTGAAACATGTGTGATTTTAAGTAAAGTGAAAGTTTCACACAAGTTGCATGTGCTTGTGGGTCATGCGACAAGAACAATATTCTGTCGCGCAAAACAAATGCATTTCATGCAGTTATACGAATATTCCGAATACGCACACACTCACTCGTAGTCAATAGCGTACTTCACTCGGAACACGTTGGTTGTTCGCTTTTTCGGCGTATAAATGCAAAGTTCGAACACACGTTCGTGGCGCTGTTTGAATTCGAGTTAGGCAGATCCTAATGCATGAACCAAGGCATCGAAATTGCCACAGGCATACAATGTTTCTGCTCAGAAAACACTTTCTGACGTCATTCTGAAGCAATTAATAACAAGAGGAGTGTTAGCACCCCTTCTCATGTCTTCACCGGACCGAATGAAATGAACAACAGAGGCCGATTAGTTTTAAGCGAAAAAACACCAGGGGAAGGCAGGGCACTTAAAATCGTTGCTCAAAAATGTCAAATGCTCAACGAGATGATTAGGCAGTCCAGGCGTTACAGATACACTGAGATCGTACTGTTTCATCACCCGGTTAAGCGGCGCATGAATCTGATCAAGATAGTGGGTTGCAACAGTGTATTAACTATAGCATGAGTAAACGGTTCCATGTTCACTAATGATACGAAGGGATTGCGGAGGACGTCGTACAAAATCGACGGAGTTACGCTTGCAGATAATCGAACTGATAAGAGTACAAAGCTGTAGAAAGCCACGTTCTTCAAGCAACCAAATATATTGCGTAGTGAAAGGTAAATTGGTTTGTCAACGATCTGTCCAGTACAAAACGCAACGAGATCGAATTGACCAGTTCAAGCATTTAGTATGTGTGTATTAGAGAGCAGAGCGACGTGAAAATTGGCCGAATCAGTGCACATGTTGTGGCTGCGTAGTATTTGGAAAGTGTTCCAAAACACACAGATGGCTTGAGATGGGGAGTACAGTGCGCGAAGTGTCTCACTCGGCGTGGAAGCAAGAGTAGCCACAGACACAAAGCACTAATGATTGAATGTGCACATTTCACTCACAATAGTTCACCGTAAATGGGCACTCGGTCATTAATGACCGTCCTTCGCATCCTGAAAGTGCTAGTTCGGGTTTCGAAACTGGACATGAAGTATACCGGTTCGAACTATTACTGACCAACCATTTGGATGGGCAGTCCGATTTGCTTATCCAGGTAGGTGCATCATTTTGATGACCAAATTACCGAACAAACTAAAGAAAACATCGGCAGAGCCCGTGTGGCATTCAAGAACATCAATGAGATATCATTCTTGCAGACAAGGATAGTATGTGCAGCGCTGCCTTAAAGCAGGTGTGGGGCACAGTTGTGAAGCATTGCCATTACGTGCTAAAGAAATCAAGAGATTGGCCGCGCCTAATTACCAGCGCTTGCGGAGTATAGCTCACATCTGGTGGGAACACCTAGTGAGCAATGCGAAAGTCAGTTAAGGAACCCGACGGCACCTCGTCGGAGTGTCAGTTAAAGTTGAACCGCTTACGTTGGCTAGGTCATCTCCTCCGTATGTCCACTGACCACCTCCAGCGATGTCCGTTGCTGTGTATAATTGGATGAAATAGAATGTCCACTCGAGAACGTTGAGTAAATGGTATGAAACTGAGACTTGGTCAGGCTATTACATGCCATGTTCGTGGTGGTTAGGCTCGAGATGGTCCACGCCGACGTCAAGTTGGTATGGCAGAGAAATCAACGGTGTTCATGCATTCGATCTGTTTTATCTAGCTGCTAATAGTGAAACTTCGTACCATTGTATGGGAAATTTCTTTCATTAACTTTTTTGTATTCTACCTGATTTTTCATACCACCGTTAATTAGTATTATCTTGGTGCTTGGAGCCCTATCTCGTTTAGTTGAACATTCTTACTCATATTGTCACTGAGCTGCATCATCATCTTTTTCGTCAACAGGACGAGCTATCTGAAACGAATATGAAGTATCGTCAATTGAGTGGAGGAATCACGGAACGCAGCCGTGCACTGGCCGAATTGACCGAAGAGTTGGAACGTGTCAAATGTGATATGGACGAATGCGGCTCAAGCATGACTGATGGCTCCCCTGTAGTCCGGATTAAGCAGGCCATCCAAAAGCTAAAAGCCGAGATGGTCGCAATGGAGATTCGAACTGGAGTGCTGGAACACATTTTGCTTCGCACACACTTGCGTTTACGTGAGGACAGCCAAAAACCTCTCTTCTCAAAACCAATGGATGCAAATGTTGTTGGTGCATCAACCTTCATATACTGAGCACAGTGATCATACATGGCAGTTTAATGAACACACTAAATACAGATAAATTGTTAAGAATCAATCTTGTTTCGAAACACAGGCGACTTCTAGAAAGTAATGGAATGTAAAGTCCAGATGGAAAATTAAAACAACAAGTGGAGCTGGGTGACGGTATTCGGTGGTGTACACAATATTCCATTGCTTGAGAATCATGAAAACACCGGCTAATCCGAAATGTCCCCGTTCCCCTTCTATTATGCAATTGAAGGGGTCCTGTCAGGAGCTCTAGACGATTGCCGAAATTTTAGTCTATAGCTATTATCGCGCAAGCGAGCGACCGACTTAGATCATGCCGATGATATCGCCTTACTTAGTGACGACTCACAGAGCATGCAAAGCATTCTAGACCGTTTAGTGATTGAAGCATCTAGGTACGGAATGTGGTTTGCCACGTCAAAGTGTAAAATGCTATCTCAGAATTGGCACTCACCTGCTCCCGTCCTCACTACTGAAGGTACATAGCTTGAACAAGTGGATGGTTTTGTCAGTCTGGGCAGTTGGGTGTCCGCTGGTGACAATATTGCGAAGGAAGTTTCCCTCCGCATTGACAAAGCTCGGTCGGCGTTTGTCAACTTGAAACACCTGTGGCATCGTTCGGATGTCTTCCTCATGGTAAAGCGTAGTACTTACAATGCCATTCTTCGTGCGGTGTTGCTATATAGAAGCGAGTCACCGCTAGTTCGCGTAGACGACATGCACCGGCTCTAAGCCTTCGACAATGGGTGTTTGAGATGGATTCCTCGTGTGTGATGGCAACAACGTATTTGCAACAGTGAAGTTAGACTTCGTGTCTTAGGGAATACGAGTGTTCCCTTCAACTGACTGGTTTTGCAGTGTCAGTTAAGATGGTTCGGTCATGTCCTGCGCATGTCAGCTGAACGTTTGCCCCGCTGCCCCCTTTGCGCTCGTGAAGAACTTGGTTAGAAGAGACCACGTGTTGGTCAGCCGTCCACCTGGTGACAGCATATATATATATATATATTGCAACAGTCTATGAATAGACATTGAGCCATCGGACACAAAAGAAGGTACAGAAATAGTAAAAGAAAACACAACACAACACATCAAAATCCATGGTTTCGTCAGAGGGCGAGATACTACCCGGTTGCCAAAGCCGAAGTAGGGTGTTGACTTAGGGGACACAACCCCGAGCCTTTGGATGAATAGCCTGTCCGCAAGGCAGCGGAGCGAATTCAGGGGAATCGCGCCCATTGGGAGCCGGTGACTGATTGCTCACTTCATACGCCTTTCGTTTGTTCCTTTGTCAAACAGGGGCCCAATGCTCCCCAGAAGTACAGCAAAACGTTGCTGGAATACAATGCTTCGCCAGGATGAAGCAAGGGGCAGTGACTTTATTTAGTGGCGAGTCACGTCTGCCACGTCACAGGGTTGTTAAACGGACATATGTGGCTTTTATAGGGAGAACGCTTGTCAGACGAAAACCCACCATGTCCTGAAACACTGCCGCCGAACCATTTGCTGGAACGGGAAAATCCCGAACCACCCAGCTGGCACCACGAGGGGGTTGTTCGGCAAACATAAGAAATTGACCACAGTCAGGCAGACTCTGACACAGACTTTAGAGTTTTCTGCTCCATTCTCGCGGATTCAGGAAATATTGCATACCTATTACTGAAACCATCTATATCCGTCACCTTAAGCCGCAGTTGCGCGCACAAAAGCAATTTGTACTCCCCCCTAGTTCCACCGGGCCCTACACTTACCGTTACACAATCATCTGATTTGTACCTAAGTTAACACTTGATTCGTTGTGAAAATGACGCACGTAGGTGCTCTTTCCTTGCACTTAACTTACTGCATTCAGTGACAGTGAGATTTATCGACTCGACTGAGTGGTTCACTTGCTCTACCTGCACAAAATACACGATACCAAACACGTTCATTGCTCACGCGGTGTTCCCACGAGATGAGCTAAGCTGCGATGTTAACGATACTCGAAAGCAACTAGCCTCTTTGTGTATCAATTTGATTGGCCAAGCAGTTTGGCGGCCAAAGCATCGAGTAGACACCAGGTTCGAAGAAAACACTGATCCTCTCAAGGAAGAGGGTAAAAGTAAAGAAAAACTTGTCATAAAGCGGGCAGAAACTACCCGTTGTGTAGTATTCAGGAGAGAATAAAAGATGAGGTCACGAACCGTAAAGCAGAAGTTCGAGACGCTTTTGCCAATCTCCGCCACCTGTGACCCGGTATAACATACCTCTCACAGGAAAACGCGGAAGTTACAACGCAGCCGTGAGCTCAAATCTCATGTACGGTTGTGAAACCAGATCGTCAGACATGGGAATAGCTACGTTCGACCTTCGTAGTTTAGCTCATTTCTGGTGGGAAGACCGCGTGAGCAATGAATGTGTTCGGAATCGAGTATTTAGTGCAGGAAGAGTGAGTGAACCGCTCAGCACCATCATATCACGTACCAGACTTCGATGATTGGGCAACGGGCTGCAAAAGCCAGCCCACCGACTCCCACGACGTGCATTATTTGCGCGTCGGGAGTGTTGTTGAAAGAGGAGGTAGGAGGTCAAGCGATGATTTGGTCGAGATGAAAACCCTCACTTTGAAGCCGGCATTCCGAATGCCGGGCTGAGGTTCAGAGTATGATGTACACAGTTGGTTGGATACATTAGTTGATATGGCAAAGAGCCGACTTCAGTAGCGTTTGTGTAGTGAGTTTCTTTGCCCCTCATCTTCCAGCTTCCTTTTCCTCTCCAACCACGCTCTGACACGCCATAGCATTATATTACCTGTTTTTGGTTTACCTGTTCTGCAATGGTTAGTAACTTGCTTTTTGCATTGCGACAAACTAGTTGAGGTGTGTTTCCTACTACCTTCCGCTAACATAATTACAATAACTCAGAAACCTCTCAGACTAATTGGTTATTCAAACAAGGATCAAATCAAGTGAAAACTAGCGAACGATGATGTTTAATATGTAAACCATGGTGTGCAAGGGGCAGGTGTGGATAATGGAAAAGAAAAGTGTGGGGGGGGGGGCAAAATGGATTACAAGTAGACAACGGTCCCTCTGTAACGCTATGAAATTTATGTGAGGGTATGGGCCATCTCGTGCTTGAAGCGCCACGTCGGCAATGCAGACTTGGGGGTATGGCAAAAAAGAAAATATAGAATAGATAAGAATTTGCGTAATACTTGACTGAATAGATAAATCACAATGAAAAGTACAGTGGCAGTAGGGATGAAGAAGTTCGTAATCCAAGAGATAGATGAAAGACTATACTCTGAAAAAACCAGCGATGGAAAATTGTTCACAAAACCGCATTCCAAAATTCGGTGCAAGCTCGGATGATATGTATATTATGCTGCGGCGTAAGTTTGAGTGGTGTTGAACACGGCCATTTTTATCATTCTGACCGCCTCTCCGGCTTGAGGAATGTACAATCGATCCCGGACTCCCATAGTCTGTCCGTTGAGAAGCAGCAACTCGGTCGGATCCGTAGCAGAATAGTGGAAAGTGATGCATTCAGGGATTCGTTTGTTTGAAGTGATGCGTGTTATTAGGGCGAGATGAATTGACCGCAAGACGACTGCACGCTTGATAGGTGAGGCACGAGGACTCACCGAAATCGGTGACAGTGATGAGCGAATTGGGAGGACGGAATTGATCGCTGACTCAAGAGAAGCGAACAAACGTTCTGAGGGACGACGGTCGTGGGAGCTCAGAAGCAACAAATGTCTCTCTACCAGAACCAGGTAACCGCTGTCTGCAATTCGACCTGACGGATCGACGAAGCGGCACTCGAATACCCCACGCACCTCGGGACGATGAGACCATTGACTTATATCCAGCAAATCTCCTGGTTCACTGCTGTCTAATCCGCCAGGGCGTTCGGGTATATCCCCGGGAGGAAAAGTTTTGTTATCCTGACCCGGTGGTGCGTACCAACGATTGAGCCAGTGTGGCCGTTTTGATGTGTGCACAAATGAATCATTCTGTGATCGGGGAAAGTCGTCCGCACTGGATACCAGCCCGGTCGGATCAAGGTCCTCTTCGTCGACGTCATCGTCGATGCTGAAGACCGATGTGGTGTTCCTGTACGACATGGGTTTATCGGGCGGCACTTCCGACAGAAAAGAAAGTGGGCTGTCGTTCGGAGGGTTGACCATATTTTTCATACCCTTTGAAACTAATCTAGCACCCTCAGGAGATTTGACTGAAGGTGTTGTTTGCTTCGAATCTCTCTTTGTAGGTGAGTTATACATGACGGAGAGTTTTCCAGAGAATCTATTCAATAAGCCAGTAAGTGCCTTAACCGGATGATGTTTGGATGTCGAAACTGGTACTGTGGTGCCCGTTATTGCAGTTGTGAGCCGAGAAATGAGGGGTTTTGCTGTGTTGAATGACTGGACTACTTCAGTAGAAGATTCAGTAGAAGATTCATCCAAACAACAGAAGCACCGGTTGGAGTCGTGGCTGCTAAGGCCTCGATCGACGCCGTAGGGCTTCAACAGGCAATGCAGCGCCATGTAGCCACCTTCGACCAAACTCACGTAGGGCGTGTGCAAGCGAAGGAAGACAGCCGCTACCATGTCAGTTATTCGATTTGCAGTTGAACAACCTGCGTCGAGCAGCGCGATATGTTCCCCGGCCACTTGGGATCCGGCGTTGATAGCGCGGTGCTGCGCCTGAAGAAGAGCCTGTATGGTGAAGAGGGAAAGTTGATATTGAAGGAAAGGTCATTAGTCAGTAACAGGAGAAACTGGGTATACCAAGTACAAGCAAGACAGCATTGAACAAACCTAGCATGGCAATAAAATGGAGAGACTAAAATAATCTAGTAACTATAAATTGCTCGGAGATGAACGCCCAGATGTGATGAGTTAGACTGCTTTGGCTAAAGCAACTATGCTTAAAGAAAAGCGACAATAAACGAAACGGAGAAGAGTTAAACAAGAGTGAATGGAAAAGGAGTTGGGAAGGTCAGAAACAGCAGACAGGGAGAATAGCCGTCAAAAGGAAAGGGTCCAATAAAACCGTTAAAAGTTCCAGACCACTAAGTGCACGGCAGTTTACCGTAGTTAATGTGGTTTAATTTAGCTAATTCATCATCGTCACTCACAATCAGCAGGCTTAGATTAGTCTGGAAAAGCACCGAACGCCGGCGTTTCGACCTTCTGGGTCTCATCAGTGGTGCGCCTCCCAGCGGACCCCTGCCGGGTTCCGCCCCCCATGACTTCAGGATGTCAGCAGCTAGTCCTACTTCGCCATGCGTGACAACTGCGAACCTGCGTGATTGACAGTTGACTATGATATAGCCCGGCTCATATTCCACTGCCACGTCAGTTACGAACTGTGCAGAGGACAATGGTTTAGCCTGTAGTTGCAACACTTTGATGTCTCAGGAAACTCATTCATAAGTTTGTAATCATCCACGGGAATAAAAAGACGAAAAGGAGAGAAGTAAAAGGAATTTCCCCGGAACAGATTTTGACAAGATTAATTCGTACACTAAAGCGTGATGAATCCACTTGCTTCGATACATGCTGACGAGACACCAACAGTTAACAACTAGAAAAATGAAAGAAAAATAAAGAAGTTACGGAAGTGAAATGTGAAGAAAAAGGGAGAAAAGAGCATAATGGCGCGAACGATTCGCTACCAAACAACGATGGTCCGCCACATGCGGGCTGTCAGTGCGAGACGATCCACAGGCTCAAACCGGTGACCTGTAGATTACGGGCATGAAGCCTTCCGCCACTAGTCGGCCACTTACGTATTCCTGTGTTTCAGATTCGGTGGACAAATTTCTGCACAGTCACAGGGGATTGGATACGAAGTGGGGGAAGAGCGGTCTCAGTTGGTCAATTAGAAGAATTAGTGTACTTCCTTGCAGACATATGATGATATAACTGCGGGTACTACAAATCAAAAAACGGGCTCTAGCGGGACCGCAACTAGCTGATCAGGAGCTGCCCGGATGGATGCGAGCGCTGGCAAACCAATGGATAAGAGAAATAATATTTGTGGTACTTCGTGCTAACCGACTCGTGGGTCGTTGTCTTCCATAGTGAGGAAAGGCAGGCACTGATTTCTTTCTAGTTACAGCATGGAGAATATACAGATCGAGTTTGCCTGGCGTCCAGGCATGTTCAACATGTAGTGGGTTGCTCTGAAAGTACGTAGAAAGTCCAATCAAACTTTACTCAATGGAAGCATGTAAGATAGCGCAACACGTTGAAGATCAGTTTCGGCGCAGGTGTGGAAGAATTACAGGCCCATGAGAAGGCAAACAACTCAAAGCGTCAACAAATGCACAGATATGTTGAGAGCCTCGACAATAGTTTAGAAATATAACAAACAATGTGATAATAACAGTGACGGCTCCAAGGATGTATCTAAAACCCCATAATCATGAGACGCAGAAGGGTGCAGATGCAATGAAAATTGTGACCGAGTCTTCATTGACAGGATACCAGTGGAAAAGTTCAGATTAATGAGCTAGATCAGAATGGGCAGGAGGTTGGCCTTCGCGTCGAGACATGCGATATGAAGGCGAACTGTTTTTCACAGTCTAATATAGAAAGGTGCATGTCAAAGGGTGAGGATGCAGCACCTTTCTCTCAAGCGAATGACAGATATCCCCAAAATAAAGTACGATCAGAGCAAAATTTAAATACTAGATCGTATGGGAAGTCGGGGTTCTAGGGGGGACCACCCTATTCTCTATAAGGTTCGTACCCTGCAGAATAGTGAAGGATGAACCGTGCTATATTGAAGTGAGCTGTCAGTTATGACGGCTAGACGCAGGCACGGATACCTTAGGGACAAAAACTGCAGAGAAATCACGTGTTCAGTACTTAGCGGGGCTGGGGGATGCGCACTACTGACGAGTCTTAATGGGACGAAACGGCAGTCTAGTACTTTTCCTGAAGTGTGGGGGGAAGATTTGATTGGGAGCTGGCAAAGATGAACTATCTATGAAATGGGATCCGGTCTATGTATTTTAAGCACAACTGGACGAAAATCCGAATTTCATCTTATACCTAAAGTCCGAATATAGAGCTAGTAACATGACACCAGATTCTAGGATAAAATTTATGCTTCTCTTGTTCATAACGTGTGCTAAAACGCAGTTTCTTATTCATCTAGTGAGTAATTACCCCGAATAGGAGCAATTTTAATCCCACGTGGCAATTCGCACTCAAAGTTTGGATTCAAAAATGGCGGCACGTTGGATTCACTGAAACCACATGTTTGGAGGACATGGCAGTTCCGCCATCATTATTTTCTAGGTGAACGTTCTGTTTTAACTCGAATGGATGAGGACGGGAAGCAAATGCAGTTCGAACTTACTGTGACAGCATTCTGGAAGAGAGCGGGGTCAGTTAGCATAAGTTCAGAGTCCAAGAAAAAAGCAGTAGGCAGGTGTCCTGCGTTGTATTGTTCAGCTGGTCGGCAATCAACCAGCAAGTAACGCAGATTAGATTTCAATAATTCTTCTTCAACAGCGTCAGCTGGTCGATTTGCATCGCTCTTCCGGATGATCTGATGGGATTGTAGGATCTCTTCTGCGGAGACATATAAGCAAAGTGAGTCGGTGAAGAGGCGTTCAGCGGTATTCGGTGTGGCGTTGCCGAACAAGAGCGACAGAGCGCGTGTGCGGAAAAGGGTCGGTGTGCGCTTGGCGAAAAACTGTGCAAGCTCCAGTAGAGGAACAATATCATCCGGTTGCATCGGCTTGGGAAGATCGAGCAATACATGCAGTACATCGTCTGTTGGGTCAGGAGATAAAGAGGGAAGAATAGGATAGTAAGTGACAAAGGCAAAAGGACAAAGCGCGTTTCCGTACAGTAAAGGCTGTTCAATGCAGCAGTTACATGCAGGGTGTTAAAACTTTGCATTCTAAAGGGATCATTCCGTCTAACAAATGGCGCATGTGAATAGGGAAGAAAACAGTTTGTAGAAAACGAGCGCCGCCCAGATAGTGACAACAGAAAAACTTTCGATGGAGTAAGTTATTCTGTGCCGCAAGTGTCGGCCGAATATGACTATGCGGTAGCCAGTCGATGAATCCTGGGTAAGGTAGAAAAAGGAGGAGGATTGATGCGAACGATGACCAGAAAAACCGGCAACCCCCCCCCCCAATGAGTTAAACAATCGTATCACGCGAACAACGCAACACACGAATGAGAGCGTTGAATAGACCGGATAAACAAGGTGCGCAGTTTGGTAGCTAAGTAACTACACAGTGGCAGTGGGAACAACACGAAGACGCTACAAAAAGCCATCCACCCAGACTGATCTCAAGTTGCACAAGTGATTTTTGCGGATCGCATGCAGATCAGGACGGGTTCAATCGGTGTGATTCGCCTACTGTGACGTATAAAATGAAGCGCGATGGATGCAAATACAGTGTTTAGGGTCAGAAATATAATGCGAGACGAATCCAGTTATCTAAGCTCATGTCGCTAAAAGAATAGTAATGATAACAATAATATTCAGAAAAATGTAGTGTGTTAGCTGTACGCCGTAATGCCACTTCGCTGCTGTGCGGCCACCACCAGTCGCACGGGGGCTGAGTATGCCGTGAGGACGCCCACCCCATACAAGGATTCGAACCCGCGCCGCAAGATTACGAGATAACCTCGTTAGCACTAGGCTACGGGCTGACACTAATCTTGGAGAAGGACTTTGCTTTTCGATGGTGTCAAACATATCCGGGAAAAGTACTAGACTATCTCGCTCTCTTCAGCGGTCTGTATGCCTCGGTTGGACCACGACAATGTGGTGCGACGGTTTGCGTACCTCGACCCATTGAGATTTACTGGGTGGTGCCTTCGGGCCCCTTGAGAGCTACTCCTACCAGATTGCTCAATGGTGAGAGGTCAGACAAACAGTCTCCTGGTCCTCTAGTTTGGGGGTTTGAAATGGGATGGCGTCCATTTCTGTAAAACTAACTCATCGCCACCTCTCCGCTGCATTGCGGACAGACTTTAGAGCCAAAGGCTTTGGTTGAGGACCCTAATCGTCCTCCTGTCCACGTCTGGGCACACTGGTAGTATCTCAGCCCACATACAACCACGATAATTTCTTCAAATTCTAACTACCTCCAGCATCGGCCGTCGCGCAGATTATTAAGGGTCGGCTTATCTGCTGCATACAGCAGGGTGGATAAGCGAAAACATACTACTGCTGGTGACTACCCTCTTTCTTTTCCACCTTTTTCTCTTACTCCTATCCCGACCCCCATTACTAACCTTCGTTCTATAATTCCCAGCTTACTTGACAGCAACCGAAGTGCCACTGGAGTAGAACTATCTGCAGCCACCATCCCATGGCACCTATCGGACGCCTATCAGCAACAGTCCCTTATAAGGCCACGCTGTCCCGTTTCCATGGCGCCGTTCGACGTTCGAACTCTAAGACAAACAGGTCAATAGGCTGCACTCGCAAGCAACTTGGACACACTGGGTATTGATGTGTGTTGTGTGTCCGAAACTAGGATTAATGCCCCTAACGGGGTTGTTGAATTAACTGCACCCGGATTGTCCTGTCGCTGTTGGTTGCACACATCCAGAGACGCCGATGCAGCACTCACGGGTCAAACTGGTGTAGGTATCATGCTAAGCTACAAGGCTGAGCTATCGTTGGTTGATTGGATTCCGGTGAACAGCCGTTTATGTGCAGCACGTTTGACGACACCACCTAAGGTGGATTCACGAAGTAGTATAAAACGCTGTTTGTTCGTGATTTCCGCTTATGCTCCCACCGACTACAGAACATATACTGTCAAGGACATATTCTATCACGAACTGCACGCGCTACTACGCAGTGCTACTAGTTCAGATATTATAGTACTTGCAGGGGATATGAACGCTCAAGTAGGGCGTCTGACCTCTTCAGAAGCTCAGCTGGGTGGTAAGTATGGACTTAACGCCGAACGGACAGACAACGGTGAGTGTCTCCCGCAACTGTGTGCGGAGCACCAGTTGTTTCCTAGTAGCACTGCTTTTAGACACAGTGGACACCGAAGTGTCACTTAGCGTTCTCCTGTAGATGGCTAGCGATGGACCCAAATTGACCACATTGCCTTAAGTTACAGGTGGCGTGGTTCCATTCTGGATTGCCGCTCGTACTGGAGTACCTGTGTCGACTCTGATCATGCTTTAGTACGCTGTCGTTTCTCCGTGAACTTTACTGGGAGGCGCACCAAGCGTCTCCTTCAATTGGCAACTGAGAAATCGTCTCAGCCTTCGGTCAAGCAAGCACTGCGTACCGAACTTTCGCTGTCTTGTCCTAATGACACTTAGCTTCAATGGAATAGGATCTCGGCCGCCATGCACGACGCAGGAGCATCTGTTTGTGGCAGGATCAATCTTCATTGCACCAGTCACTGGATATCCATACGAATCTGACTTTCACGAGTGTCAGTCTGTGGAAAACGACAGATGAGGCAATTGAGACCAGACCAATCCCCCTATGATTGCCGCAGTCCGAAAGGAAGTCTCCCTTGAAAATTGGGACTATGACGAAGTGGCTCCAGTCTGTTGGGGCAATCTCCTGCTCCCACAGTTTCACTAGTAACTAATGTAAATCATCTACAGGAGCAGGTCTTCTGAATTTAAGGAGGGCTGTGGGATTCTATCTGCCACTGCGGCTTTATTCAATTTCAGAAGTCTGAGCTCACGTTCGACTTTTGCCCGTGAGGGGGGGGGTCCAAAGAGACGGCCCAGGGAGAAGGGCAACCAATTGCCGAAAAAGAAAGTGATATCTTAGATTGGTCAAATTACTTTGCAAGTAGTTCGGCCCAACACTCCACGCTCGTCGCGTATGGTCTCGCTAACACCAGGTCTCCTGCTGCCCGTTTCTCATAGCAAACGGAATAACTTACGATGGTTACCAACGGCAGCGGCTGTTTCTATTTCCGAAGCACAATGAGACCATCATGCTTTACAGTTAATCGGGTAAAATAACCGTGACCTAAGGTGAAGTGGAAAAAGGCGAGAAGCATTCACGATAATTTCTGCAAAAGTCGATTCTTCAGAGATGGGCGGTTTAAGTAACAGGGGAAAATCGACAAAAAGAAACACTACGTTTGACCTGTGCACTTTCATGAACAACAACGTCACTGGGCTAATGAAATCCCTCCTCTGACTGCTAATCGTGTCGTACACGAAATGCAACCAACTCTCGGAGCTGTGCATTTAGACCTCTATGCCTGCTGCGCCAATGACCAAATTCGTCAACTTCATTTCGCATGGCTGTCTACCTCGTTCCTTGGACCCGATTGGTCACTTTGATAGGACATTCCCATCACAGTGGTCTCGGTCACAAGGAGAGAGACAAAAGGAGTAATAGCCAAATTTGTCACACTGCACGTTTCGTGGCAAACGCATTACAGTGTTCCCTGGTGAGCATTAGACAGCAACCGGGGGTAGTAGTATAAAGAACCAAAGCAATAGGACATAGCTGCGAGAGTGTGAACTGAGTGCCAAACCTAGAAAACAGATATCCTCAGACTTGTGGACTACACGTACGAGCGACCATCACACGTGGAATGTAATACGTTCTGCAGACAGCCCCAATGCACCATACCGCGTGCCACAAATCTTGGCGCCCCGACGCGAAGTTTAGACGAGATGAACTTAGCATAGGCACAGGTGATCTAGAGCGAGGATAAATGTGTCGATCTGAAAGTGGAGTAATTGTGTTTCACAACTCAAAGCCTAGCAGATAGCGATCTCAAGCAGTGACAGGAAGGAAGGGGGAGGAGAAGAGTCAGCAGCACATCAGTGCTGAGCATTGATGCGTCGTTACCATGCGACCACTAGTCGCGCACTAACCAGGGACACTGCAATATCGTCTGCACTTAGGCGGATTCGAACCAGGGGACTAGAGGGTTACAAGACAGACGCCACATTTCTTCAGTCGCAGACCGATAGTAAAAATCAAATGAGACGGACGCATATGTCATCTGGGTCTATGGTGGTAAGTTTAGTCACACGCACCAAATATATGCGACAGAACAAAAGATGCGTGTAAACGTACCCACCACTCCAAACTTTTAATCGATAACCTCGGGAAATTGGGCAGCTCAGCCGACGTCCCCCCCATGGCTCAGTGGTTTAATCTGCTGGCTAGTTGGCATCAGCCTCTGGTAGTCATGAGTTCGATCCCCAGTAAGGGAAGAGGGAATGCCCACCACTGACGAGCCCCAAGAGGGCGAAAGGCGTCTGGTACTTTTCACGACTAGGCTATGCTAAGTAGCTTGTGAGCTGCTGGGAAAACATGAAACTCCCGGGAAATGTGGCAAGAATGTTAGGTGGAAGACGGAGCCAACGAATCATGGGTAGTGTCTAACCGAGAATCTGCAGCAATGTAAGCACAACCGATAAGTATTACCGGGCAGGCGTGGATCACCAACCGCTCTCGCGAGTAAATCCAAGTAAATGGATGGAGGTTGTCATGAGTCCACCTGCCCGGGAAAAAGGCCAGCAAAAACCGGATGCCGAAATTGTAGCGTGTCACGATGAAGGTGGGCCGAGCAGCCCAACGACCGGAACAGTGAGTTCTGGCGAGGTGCACTCAGCAAAAAGACTCTAGATACTTTGTATATATGCATGTGACGGCTACCCGAATGGCAAGCAGTTTGGTTTATCGAGTAAAAAGCAATGGAATTTCAATTCCATTAACAGTAAGCTACAAAAGTACAAGATTCAACACGGTAAAAAAGAAATATGTGGAAAGTCATGGAAACGTTAACAAAAACAATGAACGAACAATGCGTAGCAGACAATTGGCTGTTACGTCGTGTCACTGGTTGTTGGCACCTGGGGATCGGACTCTACAGATAGAATCTCATCGCGAGTGCACATACACAATGAAAAAATGACAGTATTCCCATCGTAAACAACAATGCATAACGGACAAACACGATTAGTTACCTCGTTCTAGTTTTTGTGGATTTGGAGAAAGAGTGGACTGCGTCTCAGCGGACAACACACTGCCATCACCACTCTGGACTGTGGCAGTTTCGGGGAAAAAGTTGGGCTTCGCATTGACCAGTAGCACCAAAGTGATGAATAAACCAAGCAATGGGTCTGAAACCAGAAAGTAGGCATCCCACAGTGAGAGCAGCGTTTCTTCTGTCAGATTCGCTCGCGTAAATAAACTACGGAACCATATGGTGGCATACACATCTGGGTCCAATTTCAGTGAGTCCATTAAGCTGCACAATTTGGGTTCGTGATACTGCAACATCAAACGAAACGCGCCAGACAGGTGAGAAGAGACTTGAGTTTGGATTGGAATGAAACGCCGACACACAGCGACAAAACAGCCGTACAGATCATATCGATCGACTGGTTTGAGGACGGAGTATAACACATGAATGATCGAGACCCATCCCTCCTCATGTTTATAAGGAAGAGAGTGGACTCGTGCGAAATTTGTGAGGCATGATTCGAGTTCACTGGTAAGCTTTTCAACTGATGTCGCCGTCTGATCTGAGTCTGATTCATGCGAATTGGGCAAAATGAGATTGTCGTCGTCGTCATCATCATCCAAATCCGAGGCGCTCCACATAGACCCCGGTGGTGTCTCTTGCAGCGAATGGTGTGCATTCAGGGCAGATGCCAACTCAGTGGCAGCCCGTTCACAATCGGAATGCAACTGGTCTTGGTTCGGCAAGCGGAAGGTCTCGTCAAAGTTCACCATCTCTGTGGGTCGAAGTTCCGGAGCGAGACAAGCACGCCACACGGACGGCCGAGAATTCGGGGGAAGCGGACGGTTAGCACAGATAGAACGTATGCGAGAGAGATCTGCATCCTCTGTAGGTAAAAAAAAGAATAGAAGTCTTATGCACCATAAAAGAATTGGTCATATGAAAAATACGAGTGATGGGTAAACTAATATGCCGCCAAAAGTATAAACAGCTACTAAGGGATTAGTGTGAATTTGAGACCGAAGGCGACAATGTGGATTCGCGAATTCAGTTCCTCGTTCACTAGCCCTATTGCAGTGTGCTAAACGTGCTCGCCTCCGAAACCCCATTACTCTCGAACAAGCGTTGAGAACAGGAGTCAAGTCCATGAGATTATTAAAAAAGGTACCATCGGAACTACCCACCGATACTTCGATGCCACACCGCAACCAACAGCTGCATGCGAAGTAGTATGCAGCCACGCGGTTTCGAATAAGCGACTAGTGGATTGCATCCAGACACCGTCATCGCCATTGTCACCATCAGCCGTAGTACACGTCAGTCATTTGAGCTGATACATAGTTGCCACACAATAATAAAAGCTTACTGAGTTATTATAGGGGGGGGGTAAGAGAGAGCATATTGTGGAACCTAAATGCTCGAAGCAAATATTCTGGGTCAACGCGTTTATAACTTGTCAGCAACACACGGTCACAAATAGTTGGCCTTCGGACCATAATAAGGCGGAATCGGCAAGACGTGTTCTTTGCGGTTTTTACTGCCCCGCATCATAGATAGCCACTAACGCACAGATAACACAACGCGTCAGTCATATATTAAGCAAGTAGTCAGAGTGGAAGACAACAGAAAGCCATCGCTGGTGACGGTTGCGAGCTATGTATTTCAAAGTCTCAAGCTAATGTGGTTCGCGTGCACTCCAGTCTGGAAGATGACATAGACTAACAGCCCCTTAACCACTTAGCCAACACCAGTAGGGGAGATTATGGTCCATCCACACTCATGATGGTCGAAAAAACCACGGGAATCGTAATCGATATAGACGTACCTGGCTAGTATAATGTATGAGTTTGAGCATAATGAATGATTCCTCAATATCGATCGTAAAATATACCCTGCGAACGAAATAGACGATGAAACTAGGGGGGAAAATGGAGACAGCTCAAGTCGACATTGGTGAAAGAGTGAAGCGGTAGGCCTAGTAGCCAACTGGTTGAATTCTTATCGTAAGTCGCACATGGTCACTAATATTGTACACGTTAGCTGCAGGTGGTACACACCTCAGCTATTGTGTTGCAATACAAAAAAACATGCAACATAGGCACGCCGGCTGAGTCACCAGTAACGGATGGACATTGTTCCGGAGAGCTAACAGGCGGCTATTGTGCCGCAAAAATATTATGCCTAGTAATTGAGATCGTGGTTGAAGGGGATGGATCTTACAGTGATGCGGAGGTTTGCGTGTTTCAGAGATCCATTGAGCTACGCTGGGTGGTGTTGCCGCACTTTCAGTGTCACTCACACCAGATTGGTCAATGGATTGAGGCCAAATAAACTCAGCCCCCTGGTCCTCCACATAGGGGATTGGAGTGAGGTTGACCCCTTATTCTTTAAAACGGACTCTTTGTAGCCCACCGCCAAATCCGCTGCCTTGCGGTCAGGTTTTTGAACCAAAAGCTTTGATTGGGAACCCTAATCGTTCTTTTGTCTAGGCCTGGACAACCTGATGGTATCCCGCTCAAGTAATACTATGAAGCTTCCCTCAAACAATTTTTTGTTCATGGTCCCCGCACCCGTGCGCACGAAATGACCGATCAGCTAGGTTTTTAGGCCAAAAACGTCGAAGCAGTGTGCAGATCCTATTGAAGCATTTAAATATATTTCAAAAGCATCCGCAGTACGCCGGTACGCAGTACGGACGCTTGGCTTCAGCGCAACCACCACCGGTCGCAGACGGGTTAGGGATACTGCGAAGGTCGTCCTGCCTCTACACAGGCTCGAACCTGCGCCACCAGATTACAAGACAAGCTCATTAGCTTTAGGCTATGGTGTTCAACGTTACGAAAAAGATAAATTGCATTTTTTGGCTGGTACGTCATGAGCAGATAGGTCATGATGTATATGTATACAGTTAATGGTTTTAGAAATAACTACGGAACAACCGAGAAAACGTGGAAAGCAAAAGGAAATACTATCATAATAAAAGGGAAATGAAGCAGTTGCGCTCATTTGCACGTGCCGGCTTTTCCTATTTTCCATCATATTCGGGGTTTGAAGCATTAAACGTATGAATCAAAACGATTCTGCATGCAGTTCTTCCAGTGATTCCGATTGTAATCAATATCTGCCAGCGTTGAGCCTTTGGCCCCTTCTTATTCCCGGGTCCTCAGTCAGTCTAACGACGACTGAAAGTGAGGTCAGCAACAAAATGTGCTGTCACCACCACATAGCCGCCCGCAACCCAATCCTGCCCGAGAGAATAGCGTGCGGCACAGAAAACGCCCGGAACGTCTAAACTGGTGCAACAAATCCACTTTGTTAAAACTAAGCCCCGAATTCCCCAGAGTGCGATGGCTATCATCACTATGAACTCGGTGTTACCACGAGCGAATCTTCACAAGTACTATCGAAGGTAAAAAGACTGCATTTTATCTACGCGAACTGTCCAGGATTCGCTCTGATAATAGAACAGTGAGCGAAAGGAGGCGTTGTAAACCCGACTCTACTGAGGAGGAGAGATGCCGGCGGCATTACAGATGTTTTAGATTGACCAATGCCGACTGGGCTTTAACGATGCGCAGAGAAATCTTCTTCCAACAGTTATGGCGTGAGGTTTGTTTGCTACAAACGTCAGGTCACATGGAAAAAATTGGTAAACGAACACTAATTTCTGAACATCGACTCATGGTAAATTCCCATGAACGTTAAAGTAACGAGTTGTCTAACAGCTGCGCTCAAATTCTAACTCACTAAATCAGCCACACACGTACGTTTACTTTCAAATGGGATGTGGAAGCATTACAAGATGTAGGTTGGAAAAAAGAACGATTGGAATCAAGTGTCAGAAATGTTCATCGCAATGACAGATATAAAAAGACATCACAATTATGCCGTACAACGGCTTCACTGCCACGCAATCAGCACCAGACATGCGTGAGCTAAGAGCCACTGCTAGAGTCGCACGTTCTTCTACGTGGACCCTAATCAAGGCTGCAAGGCAGACGCCTTGTCCTTTCGATTACCGGCCTGCAAGTGTAATGAAACTGTAACTTGACTTGAGACGAGCGTGCATGCTGGGGTACTCATCCACGTGCTTTCAAAGGTGTACAAAGTAGAGTAATCAAAGGCAAGACATAATGTATCCAACTGTTCTACACATGGAAGAGAAGGCGAAGGACGACAGTTCCCTTGTCGCAATACTGAGCCAACGGTTTAGGTATCCTCCTAAACGCAAATCAATCAGTAAGGTGCAGGAGCGCAATAGAGCATTCTTGAAGTTAAGGGAGCGGACTTGACACGTATCAATGTGAACAATACGGTAAGAAGAGGAAATCTGGTAGATGCATGCATTTCGTATTGTCACCTTAGTACCATTAACCTTCAGCTCACAAACAATTGTTTTTGAACACACATCATCATCATTATACATGTCAGCTAGAGATGGTAAAACACCTCCGCTATTGTACCGCAATACATAAAGGAAATACGTACATACATACAATACATAAAGAAAAAAAAATAAATACGACAGTTGAATGCCAGCTGAGCTACCAGCAACGGATACGCATCGTTCCGGTAAGCTACCAGCCAGCTACTAGGCAGAAAGAAAAAAAATTTAATTACGTTTTACCCTACGAAATAAGATCGTAGATGGAGGGGGAGGCTAAAGGGATGGGGAGGGACAAAGAAACTCACAGCAGGAACGCCACTGAGGTCAGCTCCTTGCCATATCAGCAAGTGTATCCAGCCAAACGTGTTCACCGTCTTTTGGACCCCAACCAGGGAGCCGTGAAGCTCCAACTGAGGCCAGCTCCGAAGTGAGGGCCTTCATTCCTCTGGACCAAGTCATCGCTTGGCCACCCCTCCTCTTCTGCCATCCACACCCACGGCGCGCAAACAACGCACGTCGAGGGAGTCGGTGGGCTGGCATGCGCAACACGTGGCCCAGCCATCGGAGCCTGGTGCGTGAAATAACGGTGCTGAGCGGTTCATTCCCTTTTCCTAGGCCGTAAACAAGGCGTCGAACACGCTCGTTACTCACGCGGTGTTCCCACCAGATGTGAGCCAAACTGCGAAGGCACCGATGGTCGAACGTAATTCGCCTCTTCATGTCCGCCGATCTTAGGGGCCAGGTTTCGCAACCGTACAGTAAGGTCGAACGTACCGCTGCATTGTACACTCTACCCTTCAGGGCGAGAGTAATGTCGCGCCGTCGCCATAGGTGGCGAAGGTTAGCAAAAGCACTTCGAGCTTTCGCTATGCGGTTCGTGATCTCGTCTTCGATCCCAATGGCGCTGATACAACTTCCCAGGTAATTGAATTTCTGAACGACTTCTAGCTGATCCCCACCAAGGGTCAGCACAGGGGGCGAACCCTGCCAATCCTGGAGGAACGCTTTGCACTTCGGTGGTGCAAAACAAAGCCCGAAGCGACTGACAGCCAGTGCTAATCTGTCCAGCGCGGCTTGACACGTCTGGGAGCTGTCACAGATGAGGGCAATGTCATCTGCATACTCTAAGTCAAGAAGTCGTTCTCCTGGGAGTAGCTCCACACCTTCCAAGTCATGTCCTGTAAATGCAATCTCCATGACTTCGTCAATAGCGAAGTTGAATAGGAAAGGTGACAGCGGGCATCCTTGTCTCACACAGCTGGAGATATTGAAGGGTGGCGACAGCCTGCTGTAAACCCTTACTCTGCCCGTGCTACGCGCATATAATGCTTGCATATAATGCTTGAACACACAGAGCTGGCTTCATCCGGCTTATTGCCACAGCCACGGCAAAACGGAGGAAGCGGGGATTAGAGTGACGTAACACGATGGTTAACGCTGATCCGAGCTGTATCCGGTGACGCGTGACCAGTAGGTGTCTACCTATTGAGAAGGCTGGC